GACTAGTGTTAATACCATATACTGTTATATCTAATTATTAGTTGGCGGCGAAGCCGCCACATGATCATGTACTAGTTATATATTTAAATGAATGATTGTACATATACATACATGGATTAGACTATTAACCTTTTTATAGTTTGTAATATCTTCGTGCAGGAGATTTACGGAAAAAAGATTCTTGCAATTCAAAGGAAAGAAAATTTTCATCCGTTTTTTTTATAAAAAGTTTATAGATATTTGATATTGCTGTTGACATTGATATTATTAAATAATGCTGGTATTGTGGTATTGCCATTGTGATTGCTATACTATTGCAATTGCAATTGCTATTATAATTGCTATTGCTTTTTCAATTGCAATAACTCAAGATCGATAAAGCTTATTTTTAGCATTTTTGTCAGGTTTTATTGAGATATTTCTGCATTTTTGTCTTTTTCCGGATTCTTTACCATCTTGATTTTGATAATTCTCTATCAAAACAGTATGTATTTTTATATCTGAAGCATTGAGATGGATCTTATAAAGGGGCAAAGACCAGGTTGTCACATCTACTGTATTTTTAAATCACGATCAAAGATTTAATACTGTGCACATAGGTTTATTCAATATCACATATTAATATGTATTTTAAATATTATCATACCAAGTCAGGCTACTTATATTTATTTCTTTTAATTATTACCAAAAGTCTAAAGAAATGAAGATGCGTTACTTAAAGAGAGGTCAAAAAAAACAACTTGCAAAGTTTGATTTTACTGTCCCAGTCAAAGATCGTTATGCCCACAAGCATTAATTACATATTAGTTTTTATTTGAAATTGTAGCTGCAATATAGAATGGCTCAATCGTGTAAAAATGTTTTCAGGCTAAAATCCCGAATTGCGTGATCATCAATTAGTGATTGCATTCAAATTAATTTAGTAATAATAACCTGATAATTATTTATTTGACGATAATCTTGTATTATAAGTAGAACGATCTCAAATAATAATAAAGATTGGAGGTTTAATATTAGTCTTAGCTTTAGTAATAAGCGTTCTAAGTGAACCAAGTGAATCAGCAGTCATGTATGTGCCTGAAGGTGGAAGACTTGAAGCATATGACACTCATGAAACTTAAGCCAAGTAATAAAATTTTTTGTGAGATCAAACCAAAATTAGAGGATAGAGGTGATACTTTGACACAGCGATCTGGGCAAGAAAAAAATCTTACAAAAAAAGTAAAGGTGATAAATCTGTAAGATTAAAAGTGATAATCTGTGAAGCTAAAAGTAATAAATTTGTAAAACTGAAGGTAGTAAAGTGTTGAGATCAAAAATTGATAAAGCCAAGACCAAAGATCGGTAAAAGTTAAGACAAAACATTGTTAAATTTTTGAGATCAAAAATAAAAAAGCATTAAAATCAAAGTCAGTAGCTTATAAAATCAAAGTTAGTTGATAAATAAAATTTATGTAATTAAGATCTTGATAACAAAATTGATATTATCCAAGTTAAAATGAAGATAAAGTTATTTAAGTGGTTAAACAAAAGAATAAAAAGTCAGAGTTTTCTGTTTATTTTGATAAAGCTAGTGGCTCAAGATGTTGTAAACTATCAAAAACTGTTCAAAAAATAAGAAAAATATAGAATATATTTATATTATATATGTTAATAAGAGTATATGACTTTTTTAGATTTTTAAAAGATTAATATTGTAATTGTTATTTTTTTTTTATATTAAGGTGACTACTTGGGGTCTAGCATGGTTTATTAACTTCTCAGTTCAATTATCAGAATACCAAATAGGCACCCCTTGACTTTGTTACATCAACAAGAGTACAATTGGTCATATATACAACTTTAGTCATTATCTAATTAAGGGCTCTGCTATATCTATTTTTATCTATAGTTACCCACCAATTGCTATATCTAGGATCCGCTTGTGAATCCCCTATTTAAACTCTCTAATCAACTTAGCACCATCAGATGCTTTTCCCAAAAGAATTCCTGCCACTAAGGCCTCTTAGGACTACTTTATCCTCATGGTAAACCTACCAGAGTAGTCCATGTCCTATATATGTATCACCTTAGTTTTTTGATAACTTATGTCCAATCTGAGGACTGGTACTTGTAGTCTTTATTACCACTACCATTACCTACTCCTTGCTTTTACAAGGTTCGTTCTGATCCCAATACCCATTTTCGACCGGTCCTTTACTAATCCTTCCCCAACTACCAAACTAGTTAGCCCAGAAGGGTTGTATCTAGGCTCTAAGTACCTTCTGGTTTTACTTCACTTGGTTCTGAATTCTGTAGCATTATACCTTTTTCTTTGGTGTGACTCTGACGGCCAGGTTGGTGGACCCTTCTTGCTCCAGGGTTGTTTATCTAGTTTTTCGATCTCTGATTTCAATTTTCCGTAGTATCATCAAAGATCTTTACTACTTCTAGCTCGGGTCTTGCCAAACAGGTTTCAAATATTCTGGTTTCTTGGATTTGGACCACCCTAAAGCTTCTATTACAAGATAGTAGTACCAAGATTACAGGTGATATACCCAACTGATCGTCAAATAAATGTTATCAGAATACAGACCTATTTTTTGAAAAATGTCTCTGGTAGGAATCGAACTCTAGATCTACTGCTTGGGAGGTAACAACTTAACCACTACTCTATGTTACCACACCTATTAAAATGGTTATTTAATTATGATTAAATATATAAAAGTATATTAAATAAAAATTAATAAGAAAAAGAATGATAAATATTAAAACTTTTATAAAAATATTTTTAAATAAGGAATTTATAATTTATTGCATGGTGCAATATTTGCACCCTATTATAACTATATAAAAATCATCAATTTTGTATAACAAAAGAATTTTTATCAAAACAAAAAATAAATTTTGATTAATATTAGGATTAGAGTTAGAATTTAAAATAAGGCAGGATTATAGATTATATCAAAATTTTACAGAAAATTTTTTATTAGAATCTCAAAGATGGTTTTATAATAAAAATATTGATACAACAGAAAGGGTGCAATATATTATACATGCAATAAATTTTAAAACTCATTAAATAAATAAAAAAGAAATTAAAAACAATAATATTACTAATATAAAGATATTCAAAACAAATTAATAAAAAATAATAATAAGAGAAGATATGACAAACCCAAAATAAAAATAGGCTTAGTATATAAAAAGTATATACACAGCTGCATAAAAGAATAAAATTAATTAAAAAGCTTATATTAATTACAAAAATTAAAATATTTGAGTATATACTAGTAAGTTATTACTAGAGCTAAAAAAGAAAATAGAAGAAATTAAGTTAGATATAAAATAGATCTTGCAAATAAAAGAGAAAAAATAACAAAAGAAAAAGTAGTCTAAATATATTATAACAGAATAGCTATTATAAACTATAGTGTGAGATAGTATAAATCAATTTCTTTTTATATATATTTTATAAAAATATTATAACTTAAAAAATAAAAATAAAAAACAAAAAATTATTTTAACCAATTTGTAGCTTTAAGCTTAAACTACAATTTGGTTAAAAAAGATTTTTAATTTATTTTAATTTTAAAAAGTTATAACAATTTAAAGTTTATAATAGCTTAAAAATTTAGCTATTAATATATAAAAAATAATTTATATAAATTTTTAACTAATTAAAATTGATAATATAAAAATTAGTCAATCAAAATTGATTATA